TAAGCCGCGAAGTCCCCATGTCCAGTTTAAGCAATGATCAGGCGAGCTAGATCTCAGGAAATTTATACTCTGTAGCTTTCTTCCACCATCTGTTATGCTCAGCTATGTAGGATGGTAGATCTAGTAGCTGGTACATAGGTAGTTATTATGGCAGCATGGCATTATGGCGCATGGAGGAGATCCAGTCTCTAAATAACAACATTACAAGTAGTAATGTGTGCCGTATGAGGGATGGGTTATTGATACAGGACAGATGGCCTGGTCACTCAGTTGGTTGCACACTTGGGTGAGCTGCATACTGGTAACGTGATCGGTCTACAAGCGAACAAGCTAGGGGATAAGAGACGGTTTCCCAGGCTCCGGCCCCAAAGACAACTTGGGCCACCGTAGCTCGGGCAGGCCTAGTCAGTAGCGCTGGGCCATCGACAAAAAAGGCAGCACCGCCCGCCCAGAAAGCAAAAAGTGCCAACTCGAGTGGAAAAGCCGATTCACGACTTTTTCTGCGCCTTGACTATTTCCATCCCCAACGTCTCCTTTCTCCAGCTGGAGTAAGGCTAGCGGTGTCTCAGGCGCTGGGAACCGCTGCCAACAATATCACGTTGGTTCAGCGGGTAAAGACCGGCTTTGCAATAACCGCAAAGGATGAACTCGCTCGAACAGAGTTCCTAGATTCCTCCACATCACGGAGCGAATCTGGAATCAAACTGGAACCAGCATCAAATCTGGTTGCCATGCAAATTGCCACCGTCCCGGAGACAATTCGAACTCTTGCTGGCCCAATCGCCGTGACGGCAAAGATGGTTGCCGACGAAGTCACGCGAGTGACCCAGTTAGTTCCCTTTCTGGTTCGTCCTCATGGGACTAGCAAACCAGGGGCGCCCTACTCAAATTGGCAAGCGCTCTTTCCCCGAGAATCCGCTCCTCGACCCGGATTCCGCCTTTTCGACGACTCTGGAGCTGCAAAGCTCTTCCGACCTCGTCGCAAAATCGAACAATGCAAACAGTGTCTTGAATTTCACGCCACCCGTGCTTGTTCCCGCGCTCCAGCTTGCTGGAAATGCGGATCTAATATGCACTCAGAATCAGAGTGCAAGGCCCTCACCCGGTGTGGAAACTGTGGGGGACCTCACCGATCGGATTCCCGGGCCTGCTTAGCCAGACCCAGCAAGTCCGGACCGGTGACAAAAGAGCAGCTCGCGCGGATCCGCCAGATCCAGCAAGGGGAGTTCGCGAAAGTGGCTCGATTTAGGGCTGCAGCCAAAAGGGCCGAAGAGGCAACGATGGCCTCAACGAAGGATGTCTCGATGGCCGAGGGATCGGGTTTCGGAATCCTGGGATCCGAAGAAGAAGTCTGAGGATACAGCAACCCTCGGTGAAGTCTACAAAAAGCTTCAATATATATAGCAAGATACCAGCTGAATTCAGGGTATCTGCGAAGTAGTCTCTCGCTCTCAGCGGAGATAAGAAAAAGTCACCTGGAAGATGTGGCAGGAAAGGGAACGGGCGAGAAGCGCGGGATCCGGACCAAACAGTATTTCTTCCAAATTTGATTTCAGTTTTTGATTTATGTTTTTGATTTTAGTTTTGCTGTTAACTTCTACAATTTCAGTAGAAGATCATGCGGTTGGAATGAGTTGGGCCTGTACGCAGTGATCCTTGCCGGCTCCACCGGTTCTTGACCCAATGTGGAAAAGATAGCGTTAGCTTAGGACCAAAAGTAAAAAAAAGAGACGGTTTCTCCCAATCTGTAACATAATAATTATTATAGTCACTTCACTTCTGCACATTAATGAAGACATCTCTCCACAAACTATGTTAACTGTTCCAGCGCAACTGTACATTCCCAAATCATATACCAATCATAATACCATCTTCCCGAAGGTCGTCCATAAACTCCAGAAAAGTCTTAACAGAGTATGATTGCTATAGAGTAGTTTAGCCCGAATTCATCGTACTACCTTGGGTACCTGAGAGTGTCTTAGACTCATCAAAGATTTAAGACCTTGTCAATTGCCCTGAACCATAGTCTTGGCACCTACAAGCGTTCCGAGATCGAAATCACCGCGAGAATTGTCAGTCTCAGCATGCCCATGTAGGATCTCTTTTCTCTATCAATTCACGTATCAGTCGCTTTTCCTTCTTCAATTCTTACAACTCTATCAGAGCAAAAGTCTCCCTTAATGCAGACTTCAAGCTTTGTATCTCACGACTTATCTGATTCCTGCGAGTAGGTGTTGCGTCGTAATTTTGTAGTGGGAGATGACAGATAATTAATGAGACTAATTGCTGTATGAAACTGGAGCAGCCTCTTCATCGTCTGTGAAAAGCGTGATAGTACGTGGTAAGATTGGGTTGGAAGACTCACATGAGAAATGTTGGACCAATATTGATGAGAATTCGTCTATAAATGAAACATCTGTTTCTGCTTTCCCCTTAAATTCCGATCTAATTCTTATTTGCTATTTATGATCTTTAGAGATTATTGAATGCTCATATCGGCACCGCTGGAAAGTGAAGAACCCGTCCATGTCGGCAGAACCTGACATTTAATACCAGCAAGACTAAGCGCTATCGTTGCGGATATACCTGTGCTAAAAAGCATAGGCTATAGGCATTCCACCGGCTCACTAGAAATAACAGCAGAAAGACTCGAAATTGGGCTCGAGTCACTACAGTTAACAAACAAACAACTGATAGATTTACAGCCTGCAATATGAAGTGATAACCCCGAACACCTGTCAGTCATGTCATTTACGAACACGGGAGTGAATCATTTCTTCGGAGCCAAGTCCAGTCAAATTTCATAACACCGAAGCTGGTCCACGAGACGATTTTCAAGACCCACCACAAGATCAACCTCTTTGGTAGTGAGAGATTGATTCCTAAAGATGCGTCAGGTTTACAAATAAGAGTTATTACATCCTCAGTTCAATTGCCACACCTCTCATTGACTCGGTCTCTGGCCTCAAACAGTCTCGAAGCATACGTACACGACAACTTGAATATCCACCTTAGGAAATAATCGTGGCGAATAATTATAAGGGGGTAGATATTCAGAATTTATGTGAGAGGGATCAGAATTGATATGGAAGATGATACTAATAATCGATATAATCTTAAAGAGGTAGGTTTTCGAATTCTGGGAAAGAAAATTTAATAGTGAAGGGCATTCTGCGCTACACTACTTGGTTTTCGAGAGTGCACAAAAGAATTCAATGATCACAATGGCTGGATAGTGGGATAGTAAATCATCAGGGCCGGTCTCTCGAGAAGAGTTTGGAAAGCTTAGACATCCAGCCCACTTAATAAAGGAAATTGCTGGCTCGAATCAAGTGAGGCTTAACCATACCTTTGTCGCACCAGTACGCATAGATAATGAAGGCATGTTCGGATGACCAGAGACATTGAAACATCCCTTTCGTGGGTACTCACTGAGGAGAGTTCGCGGTTCAATGTCTATGAGCATTCCCAGTAGTATTATTTGCCGACAAGATCCAAAGTATGGGCGTCTCTGAAGTCGAGTCACCAAAATGTTAACTTGAAATTAGTCATGTGAAGGCTTTATTTTTGAATGTACATCAAGTGACATGCTGAAAGTAGACGTATTAGATTACTCCTTCCTCGAATATTATGGGCTTGAATTGTGATGTTAAATTAACACATGATACTCACGTCTTGAGTGTACTCCCTGGTAAAACTAGAGCCGTATTATAAGACTAATCTTTCTCTAGCTGTGAATATTCAACCAGATGAGGAATATTACTTTCAACATTTAGATAGGTATTGAATCAAGCGGCTTCTAAGAATTGTGTCGTCAATGCTTTTAGGTTGCCGAACTTCCGCGATTATCACTATCCAATTCTGCACTAACATGTAATACTCCCGGTCAATTAACCTGAGGAGATCCACTTGATCAGCACATGCGAAGGACTAAAAGGCAATATGTGGCATTGCCTTCAAATTTAGAGAAGGCTGAGTTTGAGTTTTTCTAAATTGTGGGTGAATTGTGGAGTAATTACAATGATTGTGTAAAGCAAATTGTCCGTGTACGCTAAAGACGTTTGTAATCAAGCATTTTCGAGCGTTTACGCCTAGTCTGGTCAGCACAATGAAGCGCTACTAGGCTGCATGTGTCTAGAGTGTGAAATAATTCAATCAAAAAAATATGGGCTTTTCAGTGCGGAGACTACTGGGATATTAACCTGCATGGCATGGCACGGCAGGGCTCGGCAATTAGCTATCAAATAATTAAGCGGTACGGTAATTATTGCCATGCAATTGGCCACAGGTTTCTCACACAAGCCGCACTCAGGTTCGCTAGGGGCATATCAGTCGCTGGGGATAACATGAGCTGGCGTTGACGCAGGGCAAACGGTGTAATCTAATTAAGTAGTCATTACTCAACTATTGGCTTCGCTTTGATGACATGAGGTTTTTGAAAAATCTATATGGCCCATTTATCCGAATCCGCCATCCGCCATCCGCCAAAATGCTACAGAGTAGTACTGTCTATCCTTTGCCACCTAGCCGCGATTCTTTTTATCCACCAACCCTCACCCTCTCCTCTAACAATCTTTCATCCTCACTTTACTTTGCGTTTGGTCACCAAGTAGTTCCATCAAGCACACAAGCACCAAAGCCAGTCAATTATTGTGATAGTATAGAAGTCTTTTTCTGGGGATTTTGGGGCATCCTAGTTCTGAAATGAGACCAAGATTTTGCACGTCATGATGAACTGATCCAGCACAGATTGATCGAAGTCTTCAAAAATATACGGACTAAGCTCATGCCGAATAACATTATCTTAAAGCGGTATTTAACGATACTTGCAGATTATCTCGATCGGATAGAAGTGAGAACAACCTGAAAGGCCTGCACCCATGCTATCATAGGAAAGAGTAACGTCCAACCAAAAACACCATTTTTCACGGCAATCGCTCCCCATTAATCTTCTTATAATATCAAGACAGTCGGATAAAGTGAGGAGAGAAGAGGGAAACATGTTTTCAGAGCACAAATCACGAATGATAAGTGAAGAGCTCAACCCTCCCCGAGAATCTGTTGCCATCTCTTCTTTCATCCCATCAAATCACAGCTCGACATTACCAAACTTAGACAAACTACACTCTCAAAGTAAAATCTATAATGATAAGAAAAATATAATTCCGCCCGAACGGCCCCAGAGCACTCCGTTCCCTGAACAAGAGATGATGGAGAAGACCCTTTTGCGCTCATATCGTACCCACGACTCTAGTTTTACTAGTGACTATTTGTTACAGATAAGCCCAGTAACCTTGGAAACTAATCAGGTTTCACCTCTTTGTGACCTGCCTAGTGAAATACATGAGTGCATTTTAGATTACCTACTGGGAATCCGTGCATCTGCAGCTTCAATGACAACATCCACTAGCTTTTCGAAATTCCTACGTGGCTGGAGTACGTTCATCCGCTTATAGAATTTGAGTGGCTTCTAATATTATAATCATAGGTTCAACACTTAGGCATTCTAGAAGACGAGAAGTGTCACAACTAGCATTGGTGAGTAGAAGATGGCGAGAGTTGATACAAGAAAGACTATATCGCCATTTAAAAATAAAGGGCACAAGAACATCTATCAACGACAGTATTGATTGGTTCCATTGTCACCCACATCTTAGCTCGCATATCAGACATCTTGAGATATGGTTTCCAGTTTTCCAGCAAAGTAACAATATAGATCAACAACGATCACATATCCCTTCAAATCCCCCCAACCGACCGTATCTAGTTCGACGCTCAAGTACGGTGGAATCAAGTACTGCTGTGACATACCAATCACCATCTGATAACTGTACGCTCGAAGAAGTCTTTCTATTCATACAAACGACTTTCGCACGCGTCTGTATTCTGACACTGGAAGGAGGAGAAAGGAAGAAACCTCCAATGGTGCGGTACTTTCAACGTCAACTTCAAGGAAAATTGCCCACCCTCACCACAGTGCAAACATTAGTTTGTAAAGGACAATGGAATATTATTAGGTCAAATGAAGATTTTCAGATCCTAGCTTCTTCATTACCAAACCTTAGGGAATGGCATGCGTCTTACGCGAAACCAAAATCAAAAAGTTACCTCTCTATGGCCACTATCCTACCGAGATTACCTCAGTATCTAACTCATCTTAACATCTGTTTGGAAGCTGATTACCGCCGCGAAACTTTCGCTCCAAACTACGCCAAGAAAGTCGTTCGAAAAACCCACTTTTGTGTCGAGATGGCAAAAGCAATACCCACATTAGAGCACCTTGCATATACTGGAAGAATTTGTCAAGACCTTTTCAATACAGCTGCCATAATTTCTGAGGCTAGAGAGTCCAGAGTTAAATCTGTGGACATCGTAGTAAAGAACGTCTGTCGGCCATCTCTCCTAGATGTGGGATGGGGTGACGGCTCTAGCATAACCGATATGAAATTCATTGTCGCATTTGAAAAACTTGTCGTAGCTGCCATTAGATCGCTCGGAAAGTTGTCAGTGCTCGAATTTTTGAGAATACGTTTCATCGATTTAGGTACGCGATATTAATGTTAATTATTGGGCTTTAACTGATACATGTAGAATCTCCCCTGCCGAGTCTAAATCCATATTTTCAGCTCAGCAAGAACCAGTGTACTGGGATCTGGAGTCATTCTATTGTTGAATCAATACGGCAGACTCGTCCAACTGCCTCGTTTGCAAGAGAGCCTGAAGCTTTAGATGATGTGACATATGGAGAGTTCATCGTGTCGGCTTCTTCTTCCAAATCACGCTCACCATGCATTCGGGTATCAAATTATGCAATCCTTGCAGGTGAAAACAGTCCTTTATGAAGATGTACTTGTCAAGGGTTTTGACTCAAGATAACTTTCCCTTCAATTTTAAAAACCAGGGGCGAATTGTCAGCGAAACCGTAACCGGAGATCATCGATGGCCTAGGTGTTGAAGAGCACAGAGCTAGTCTAGTATTTCATGGAATAAAAACTGGTTGATTTATTGCCACTTGAGCGATGGAGTTGGTGGAAAGATGGAAGACAAGTATAATCCTAATGAGCTACCACTCAGTACTATATTGTGTCATGGAATTGGGCTTGGTCAAAGTGCTAGCTCGCTAGAAACATCCGAGACAACATGGGTAAAATGGGATGTCAGGAGCATTTAGATCTTATTTAATTAACCGATGATTGCAGTGCAAAGTGCTGATAAAAGATATCATTTATACGTGTGACTTCGTTCCGACGTCCAAAACTATGATCCCTAAGATGCAAGAATTCACCATAAAAAATGATAAACTTGCAAGCCAGAGGCCAGGCACAAAAGTGCTCACGCCGAAAAACTCAAGTTTGTAAGCTTGATGCAACCAAGCTGCCTGAGTTGATGCCCACAGAATTGCCGTGAGGGCGCCTAAACGTTTACGGTTAAGGAAGGAGGAGTTGGGGAGATAGAAAGGAAGTAGAACGATGTACCAGAGAAAGTACTAGAAGCAAAAGTTGTTAGCCAAACTAAGTTAGGGTGGTGGAATGGGCGGCTTCTGGGTTACCTGGCTCGTGCAAACTTTGTTGAAGGAGACAAAGGCAAAGGATTGGGCAAACATTGTGGATGCCAGGTCTCTCTTGGCCAGGGTAAAGGGGATGGCAACGAGGGAAAGAAAGATTTGAGGTAGAAATGAGAGGGACTCCAGACGCAGATGCGAGGGCGTGGGCGTAGCAGAGGAGAGATATAACACAATATTGTAAGGCGAGAAGTTGTGACGGTGATCGATGCGGGTCACGTGATGAAGATAGGTGTGTTTGAGAAAGGGCTGGCCGTAACTGCGAGTGAGGATGTAGAGTCAGATGGGGATGATTGGAACGTAGGAGAGGCGCAACTTACATGTAATACATGAGAAGATTGAGGGCGAAGAATACAGTCGTGGCCACGATAGCCAGGGTGAGGCGGGCCGGGTTACAGAAGTTGCGGATGCGACGGGGCCACGACGGCTTGGGGCCCGACAGAGTGTTGGTGTGCAGGGACCAGACGATTGATGGAGCATAGATGAGAGGATAGAGCTTGAGGTGTACGGCGAGGGCGAGGAGGCAGGCGGCAAGCACGATCCTTCGCTGGAGTACGGCCCATAGCAAGGCGATGACGAGAGCACACACTAGGCCCTCGGCGCTACCGCGCGTGCTGATGATGGCGACCATGGGGTTGAGGAGCCAGAGACTTGCGACGGCGAGGGCCGGACGCGGCGCGAGGTGGTGATGGCGATAGAGAATGCGGAAGATGAGCCAGCCAGCGACGATATCGCCGGCGGCGAAGAGCAGCTTGCCGAGGGAGAAGCTGGCGGGCGCGAGCGTTGTCGGCCACAGGATCCAGGCGAGGAGCGGAGTGTAGCGGTAGGTGGCGCGATCGTAGGGCGAGTGGCCCATGGCGACGCACTGCGCGGCGTCGGTGAAGACATAGTAGTCGATGTCGGTGTACTTGAGGTGCGAGTGTGCGTCCTGCCAGAGACCGTAGACGAAGAGGCCGAGGCGCAGCAGAGTGGCGGCCGGGAAGACGATGGAGGGTCGTAGGAGCCCGGAAACCATGGCCGGCTCTGTGTCGGACTTGCGAAGCGTGGCCTTCAGCACCATCTTGCTTCCTCCCTCTACACGGCTCCTATCACGCATCACGTGCTGGATAGCCGAGGCTCTGGGCCACGCCACTAGAACAGTCACGTCGCGTCGCGTCGTATTCCTACAGGAGACTGACGAATAAACGTCACATATCTCGCTCGCGGCAGAAGCTCTCCGGCTCGTCATTGAGACTGCTGTCTGCATGGAGACTACTCGAGAGGACGAATCCAGGCGGCTTCCCGTTTTGAGCTTTCACGTCGGACAGTCGGTGACTCGATGTGGTTAGCACCGGGCTGGATACAACTTGAAGTTTATGGACTTTGGCCTGAGTCAGGAAAACGCCCGACTCTTAAACCACGCGCGGAATCGTGCAGGCCCGGCCAGGAGCCATTCCCCCATTGGCGAAACTTTTACACCAGCCAGCCAACTGAGCTCCCCTCTACCTTCATTTTCTCCCCTCAACAACTCTTCTGTATATACAATGAATATCCAAAAATTCGAGGGATAGCGGCTGATGTTGCTATATTGCGTATGGCCCAAGGCCACCAGGTCTACCGCCACTTCAACAAGCGAGAGTATATATATTTCTACGAGTATGCTAAAAATTACATAACATTAGTCTTTTCTCTCATTTTCCGTTGGTATCCCCAAACAATGGTTTTTTACAGGTCTATTACTCCTATCCGCATCTTAGTTCGTAGTAAATCTCCTGCATTACTCACAACCACATCAGATAGCTATTCATTTCTATCCCGCAAGCCTCACGAAATCGGTTGTAACCTGCTCTCAGATTAGCCAACATGTAATCTAAGGCTAGCTAGAAGGAAATGGTTGTTTTGTATCAAAACACACTTGGTCTATCTGTCACGTACGTCATATAGCCCACCCCACATCCTTCTTAATCCATTCCTTGAGCTTTTCAAATAAGATTGCATCTTTGTCCACCCTTCTAATTTTATCCTGCCGTCGCCACAACTTTGTAAAGGTAAAAGCTTGCTGAAGATATATTGACGTGAGATATGGGGAAGATTAACAAATCAAAGTGAACTGCTAATGTCTTGATACTTAGAACTAGTTAGATCTAAATGGTAGAAAAAGCTTTTCATAAACACATTTTACGTTACTAGACTCGCTTTATTTTGACTAAGTGCCACACAATATTTTGGTATCATTCACCTGGTAGTAAATCTCGAAACATCCTCCATACATTGCTCCGTTACTCATCTACTCATCTTGGAATCAGCCGGATAGCATTTCCTTCATTCCAAGTGATTATTACCCTTGGACATAGTTATCTAAGCTATCACTAGCATAACGCACAACTTTTATTATAATCTCCGAGTGCTAGAACGAGAATCAAACTATGAGACACCGAAGCGTCCTTTATCAGACGAAAATATGGTGTAAAATAGCGATAGCATAACCTTTTGGCTAATGTAAATTTCAAAACCAAGGATTTAAAAATTAGCCAACCACTAAACTTGCTATCGCCATGGCAGGGTTTAATTGGCTCAAATAATCGTACAGATGCGAAGTTTGCGTTGCGGTGGTGTCAGAGTCTAAATTTTTGTGGTCCCTTACAACCATTCAGTATAGTGGATAGAGTACTTTTCAGCAGTCGCCTCATTGGATTTCTATTTAGTTTCTTGTTCTTAGTTCGAAGCATGTTGGAAATACAGTTTCCTGCTTTTCTTTCTATTTAGTTTCTTGTTCTTAGTTCGAATCATGTTGGAAATACAGTTTCCTGCTCTTCTTTCTATCGACCAATGTGGTTACATGCACCTTGCCTGAACTATATTTCTGAGGTCAGGCAGGATCCCACACTTCTGATCCAATCGGACTCAACGTTAGAGTCTGCTTGAATCCCATTCTTCCCATACAAATCCAGTAATTGGTTTGTTCGTATTTCTATTGTATGACCCAGTATTCAGGGCCAGTGGATAATTATTTTCTGGTCTGGTGTTACGGCGTGTGGTGAACGAATTGGGATTTGCAGTCTGCTGAAGATATCCTAGTAATGACTAGGCGAGTAAGTACGAGACGATATAGACGGGTAAGGTTAGGGGTGTTAAACTGAACGGGCGAGGCGCAAAAGGTTAGGACTGCAGAACGAGAGATCGAGAGATCGAGACGAGTAGAAGGATTCTAGAGACTATGAGGATATAAGATTGAGAAGCTGAAGAACTACTGTAGAGTAACTCCAGCTTCCTTAAGTATAACTAATTACGTGCTAGATTTAAGTGAGGCTTTGGAAGATTATCTCATGGTAAGCCCCTCCAACTCTAATTGCCAGAGTTTTCTCGGATGTCTTCTCATTGAACCTTCTCGAACTTTCTCCTTGAACCTTCTTCAAGGATGCCTGGCCATAACATTTGGGGTCCTACATATTTCTACAGTCGAGTCGGTTCGGTATAACCTTTCTTCCTTGTAATTCCACTGTATATATCATAGTACCTATAGTCTATTAGCCAATTAAGCAAACTGAGCTTCTTCTCCGTTCTCAGGCAAATCTTACTCCAAAGTCTTCTCTAAACTCTAACAAAGCATTAATTTCTTTTTGGTCTTGCTTGGGGATTACTGAAAGCTAGTCCTTCCTAGACTGCACCATTTTAGCACTTGTTACGGGATCTAGTGTAAACCGAAACGAAAAATCACAAAAATCAAAACAACTCCCAAAACCAGAAGATTCCTTCACATTGGAACCAAGCAATGTGCTTCTCACACATTCCTTCGTCCGTCACACCTTCCAAATGACAAATTTGCCCAATTCCGCTGAGAGCAAAAGATGGGTTAGCAGGCACCTTTGGTCCAGCCGGTATCCTGCTATTGGTTAGTAGATGTCCCTTCCGAGACATCGTCTAGGTTGCTGTGTCCTCAAGCTTTTTTTTAAGGTTCCAACCCTCCGAAACCGGTTGCCTCGGCCATCGAGACATCCTTCGTCACGGCGATGATCGCCTCTTCGGCCCTTTTTGCTGCAGCCCTGGCTCGTGCCACCTTCAAGAACTCCCCTTGCTGGATGTAAAGGATCCGCTCGAGCTGCTCTTTTGTGACCGGTCCTGTCTTGTTGGGTCTGGTTTGGAAACTGCTGCGTTTTCCTACATATCTCATATATGATCCTTTCCGCATCGATCGCATAGATACCACCGACCGTTCTCATAGTCACTGGAACATTCGCGATCCGAAAGGCGAAAAGGTTGGAGGCTTCCTCGAACTTGGCGTTGAATTCCGTCTACTTCAGTGTAGCCTCTACGAGCTCTTCCCTTACTTCCTTATTCCCTATCAGAATATCAAAGCCGGTTCTGACACGGTGTATAGAGCGAGCGTCACTCAAGGTGCACTCCAGCCTGATCTGTAGCTGTAGCCTTATTCCGAGAGTCGAAAGCTGGCGCCAAGGGTGCTCCTTTTTCAGGCGAAGGAACAGTCGTTTGTCGACTTTCGCCTTGAGAGCTTCTTTATTTAGGGCTTTGGCCACAGGTCGCGGCACAGCCTTCGCAGTAAGGACTGCTTTTTGTCGCATTCCGTTTCTGGCCACCGTGACCCAGGTGCTTTTTACAGGCAGCACTGGGATGGCGGGAGTTGTATTGCTCCTGGCCTCTGGAGCCCTTGGGGTCGGGTTCGCAGGGCGAGATGGGTGGCGTGATGGCCGGGCCCGTGGCCATGTATTGCGCAATGGCGGCGCGTAAGTAGACTCTCATCGAGTCTACGAACTGTCTATTTGACCCGTTGGTCAAAGGGAGGAGGGTGGCTTCGACGCCAGAGATGGCGGCGGAACAGAGGGCCAGATTTGCCGCTGTTTCGGCGGCGCGTCGTTGTTCACCTTCGACAATTGGTCGAAGCTCTAGGAGAGACTCTGCTTTTGTGGCAGCTTTTGGCTGCGACGTTGATCTTGGCGCTGCTTTGACTGCAGCGTTTTCCGACGGTTTTGGCGCGGTCGGGGAAGATTTTGACGATTCTCCAGTCCCGTGAGGGACGAAGGATGGTTGGGGAAATTCCTCAACAATTTCAACTGACCCGATCATGTCAGTATCGGGCTCAGTGACGGCGGGGAGGGCTTTTTCCTTCTCTTTAGTTGAGACCTTGCTCATCTCCGCGCATTTCGGAAACTGGTCAAGGCCAGATAATTAATCGAGAGCCCTCGAGCGGACTATCGTGTTGTCCAACGTGGCGTTAGGACGCATTTTACGAACAGGTGGCATAGTTAAAATGCCAGCGACTCGATGACAATATAATGAGGGAATGCGACGAGCGCGAGAGGGAGGGAGAGGTGGAAAATAGGGATATTCGAAAATTCGAATTTCAAAAAATTGACTGTGTGCGTGTATGTTTATTGTGCTACTTGAGTCTATGACTATCTAGCACATTGGGCTCCTCTCTGACCCAGGCCACACCTTGTACAGTGCTCCTATCCTCTTTTGTTACGTGAAAGATCATTGATATATTCCCCTTGATGAACAGCCATTCAGCTCAGTATTTACCCGTGAAATTTGGCCACCTATTCCACGGAACCTTCTGCCCAAAAAAAATGGTAGCAATGGAAACTGCGTACGCGGGAAAAGTCTCAAAAAACCTGCAGCCCCAGCCAGGCGAGGCTTCGACACCGGGACCACATAAGGTGCGCATATTCATCTATATCTCCCTTCTTTGTAACAGTCGAGGCCGACTTGATCCAATCCACCATCTCCGTATCGGGTGCTGGGTACGCTCCTGAAACTCATCGGGTGCCTTTTCCTTTATGATCAAGGGTGGGTGATGAGAAGGGATTCGAGCCTACCATATGATCTGATCGTGCTTAGCGTCATGATAATGGCGATGGGGGATTATGTCGAGGGATGAAGACGATACAGACCGCGAAAGCGATTGGGAATTCTCGTCGAAGTGAGGACTTTGTTACTCAATCTCGACTCTGCAGACTCTACAGTGAAAACTAGAGGTTCTTAGGGGACACCACTGACACGTGTCGAGAATAGTCCCCCTAGAGCAGCTGTATGGCGTGGGCACGAGGAGGTTATTGGAGGTTTTCTATACCTAGATGGCGCGACACTCGTTTGTGCTGTGGCTTAGGCTATGTGTCGCTTACACTTGTACTTGGAGCGCACATCTCACACTTTTTTGGTCGTCTTCTTTCATTCATATATGTTTTGCCCATTTCATCGCGCGATATTTCCAACAAGTTTCCCAGCGCTAATTTCCATGGAGTCGTTGCTCCTGCCTCTTTCACTTGTGATATACAGTCGAGATTTTCTTTCCACGTCATATTTAGAAAATTGCCGGGTCGAATTTTTTCTGAGACTCTCATCACGAGTTATTAATGGCGTTGATCTCGCCCTCATGCTATTTCTACATTGCCTGCTCGTGTTCGTCCTCCGTCATTTTTTCCAAATCGGGTTTGACGTGCCTGTGGATAGTCTTCATGCTACCGAGGTTGTATACCATATGTCCAAGGCAACCTTTTGCCACGAGAATGGTTCAAAGATCGCCCGTCCACGCCGAGAGGCTAACGCCTGCGCTCCAAATAGCTGATACTTACTGTATGGAGTAATATTAAAACCGGAGAGCACTGTCGAATATATTACAATCCAGCGAATTTGACTATTGGGCGTTATATTTTCCCCTCTGATATTAGGGGTAGGCTCAAGTGGTGAGTCTCGCTTCTAGTAGATGTGTTTTTTTGCGTATGCAAATATCTAGCTATGACACAATATCAAAGAAAAGTATAGAATAGATGACTCAATATAAAGAAAGAGCACTCATGCCTCGGATTAATTTGCATTACCACTGCGAAGTTATGGCGGCTTTTCCTTCACCCCAAGTCAACCCTCATCCGCGAATACCCACCCAGAGAAACGTCTCAAAAACTCTGAGTTATCCAGACATGCCTCCGTCATCCATTATCATTCCTCTGCACAAAATGTGATCTCAGATGTCTCCTTTCCAAGTGGGGTAGGTACCCAGGCTACTCAAACTATACCAGAGAACACCACCGGGAGGCTGATCACGGCTATTCCATGGTTCGCTTGTTTTTATAGTATCAGTTGCCCTGTCGCAAGCGAAGTATTGGCGATTATAATACTCCTCAATGTGTACATCTCCTTGCCAAAATTCGAGATTTCACGCCCGTCGAGACTGCATCCATCCCCTGCACCATTTTGTGAACTTTTCCTAATCCCTCTCACACGCATCCCAGAGAACTACCTTGTAAATGCAAACATCTAACTGTTCTTGGCTGCGAGAGGGTATTTCACCCCAGCTTCATAGGAGACACCGCGTACAGGTGTTCATGCGCTTGATTAACTTTGATAACTTATTTCTCCACGAATACCATGACTTCCACCCACATAATCTATAACCACGCTCTGTAATGGAAGGTTTTCTACTCGGAAAGTCGCTGCACTACGAAGCTCGAACACTTGATAAATTGTATTCGCTCAGCTAACCATTATCGTTAGGCGGTAGACATCTAGATTTGTTTATTATGAATCCGTCGCCACTTTTACTACATATCGTACAGCTAGCTCTACCATTTTTTCAAAAAATTATGCAGGCCCTTCGCCTTGCTTCATTGCTATTTGTTTTCCATAGTCCAACTTAATCATCTAAGCATATCATTTGCCACTCTGGATCGAGACTTGGAGAAAAATGGGGTCATCAAAAATATCAATATCGACTAGTGGATAGGAAATTTAAAATTTCTTCGCCTCTTGCCTCTAAACCGATACTCTATTCCGGAGAGGATGATACGCTAGGTCTCGATCTTGTGCCGACTGAGTCAAACTCGAATTGGCTTGGACAAACGAATACCATTTGTTCTAGTCATGCGTTAGCTGGCGATAAGTGGTGTCCTTGGACATAGTCAGATAGCGCTATTGAAGTCTTAGTCTTAATTAAATTTGATTTCCCGAGCCATTCTCAGCTTAGTGTCAAGTAACTTGACCCGAAAAAGCTTGTCTGGAAAATTGGAAAGTACCAGTTCCGGCTAAAGTAAGAGCTAGGAGGAATATTGTAAACTTCTGATTTTTTTACTCTGACCATTCATTCTGTATGCTTTTCGAGAAATATTTGTCCTGTGAACCGCCAACGGTCTCGGATGTGAGGAAACCGCGATGAAGCCTTATGTGATTAGATTAGACTTGTTGGCTAACTTCCCAACTCCCTATATAATGGCCACTTGTTTCCAACCTTCACGACCCGTCACTGATAGCATTACCATTTCAATTTCCATTGCCATTACCATTATTACCATTAACACAAAAGTTTCTCTACGTTTATCATCTCTTCAAATAGCCCTCATATCCTCATCGTCTCACACTCTTCAAAATGAGATCTTACATCAACATATTCTACTTTACCATTATCGCAGCAATAATATTTGCCGCTCCTAATAATGCTCGCTCGCTCCATCGAGCCGGCTTTCCTGTGATTGATAAGAGAAACGCAGGAAAAGATCATACTGGCTATCAATGTGGATCGACTAAGCACAAGATGGATAAGATTCTTGATGCCATTAAAATGGCTTGTCCAGATCCAGAACAGAGCGATAGTTTTTGGTTTTCCTACAATGACAGCGGCTTTCCCAAGACGTTTTCTGAAGCGCAGAAGCTCGGTTTACCCAAGGATACTATGATAACACCTGTTAGAGGGGGCTTTTTTGGTGAGATTTATTTCATACTTCCGAGCACATCTTTTTGGGTAGATGCAACTATTATCTGGTCGTTTCAGAATCGAGTTTGGAGACGTTGGACAAAATAGATGCATTTTTGAGCCATAGCATTCCTATCGTTCATCGTTCATCGTTCATTGTTACTAATACTATAATTTTCTCCAGAACCATTACAGTTCCATTATGCCGCGTTTGAGCCGTTGACTTGCAAGCTTCGTGGTCTAATTCGTCAGAAAGACAATAAAAAAGACGGCGTTTTCCAGCTTTGCCAATACACGACTTGGCCCCCGAGCTGGACGGATCCGTATGTTGAGGCCCAAACTCATTTTCTGCTTTCGTAATTAACATGTGATAGTTTCAACTCTAATTAAAGGCGCATTCACGCAGATTCTTGGGGTCACCGGCGTTGTTTTGGAAGATTGAGACGGCAGGGGTGTCTTTAAAGATTATTGGATATTTTTGTTAAGTTTAGCTATTGTTGGCTTATGAATATTTAAATAGAGAGTTGAAAATCATAAAACCGTTGTTTGAGAATAATAGGGTTCAAAAGAATCAATCATTTGATCTTTGACCTGCGAATGTTCATTCCTAAAGTGGGGATATCCCAATATGAAAGGTTGCTTCGATGATATATAATCAGTTCTGAATGTACAAATTGGATGACTCTTGATTTTAGAGACATTGATAATCGGGATCTTATCCGAGCCTATGACCATGAGGTGTGTTTGTGTACATTGAATAGCCGACCAACCCCCACAAGTACTCAATACAGGAAACTTTCAAAGAATATGATTATTAGAGCATGTCTTCGTTATCCATGTACATGAGCACTGCGAGAAACGTGGTTGAGTTTTGCCAGATTCGAACTAGCCATCTTCTGTCTCATGTGGGATAGGTGTCCATGCTATCCAGATGATGTACCACAAAGCCATCCAGTTATTGAGTTGTTTATAGCGTCAACAGCACCCCCACTATCGAAGTATTATGGCGCACAGAGCCCAATTTGTAAATCTATTTGCCATAATTTAAACTTTTACCTATTTGGGTAATGTATCCACTATTTGTATTGTCTTGACAGCTTTTCTAGCTATTTCTCACGTCCGCACCGATTATTTGACTTTCAGTTTCCCGTGCCACGAGTTGTGACCTACTCCGGATATTCATGTTGTCGTAGCTATGCAATCGGAGACTAGCTGAGTCTGAACATTAAGTTCACAAGTATTGTGGTTTATGAGATAGATGAATTAGGTCGTATCTAATAACTTGGCCATGTCTTGATTGGAGTCAATATTGTAAGGAATGAAGGATTAAGATAGTAGGGACCCTGGATTATTGCCTCGTGGAAGACTTCTACATTGATAAATCTGACTATATTTGGCCATAGAGAGATATTTCACTCTAAAATTTGTACAAGACGCAGTGTACTGGTGTCACATATTCTCCCCCATTCGCATGGTGTTGTATGGCATACAAAGAAACCAAACGGTCGATCAAGAAGGTGGCTTTAAAGTGCGTCGCGTCGAGGCGGAAGAAGCTCTAGTATATGTAGGCTTTGTTCAGCCCGGCTTGGATAGACCTTGTGCCGGGATGACGTCGTCGTTTCCCATTAAAATAAAGCATCATTTATCTTGTAAAGATTGATGATTAATTCAAACCCTCAATAATTCGGTCAGAGCAATTCTTCAGGAACTGAATTCCAGTAGGGGTCCAATTCGGAATCAGGGCAACATATTGGGTTATAAACTGGCTATGCGTAAGGCTGAAAAGATCTGCAAATTCTGCACCAACCGGGGCTCGAAAGTGTACAGGCTCTTAGCTTGGAAGCAGCTCAACCTAACAAAATAATATTCAATTTGATGTCATATCTACAAGTTTCCAAGCGCAACGCAAAAAATACATGATTAACTTCTAAAATACTGTAAAATTTTATTGAACCAACAATCATGTTACGATGGTGAATTCCCTCAGATTTTCTATGGCTACGTAGAACTAATGTTGTAATAGGTATCAAATGAAGCTGGCTACGCGGCCTTATCTAACACAGAGTATCACTTCATCAATACTTTTTGCGACTGGCGACACAATGGCGCAGCAAATCATGGAAAAAAAAGGAGTTGGTAACCATGATGTAGCTCGATCCGGGCGGATGGCCTTATATGGATGTAAGATTCTCACGATTTGACAGACTTGTGCTAGCAGTCTGGGTCGAGTCTTCTACTCACTCGATTTCTAGCTATGTTCGGCCCAGTTGCTTCCAGATGGTTTGGTTTTTTACAGACAAGGATAGTACTTAAAAACAAAAACTTGGAAATTTTAGCCCGAGTAGCCTCCGACCAAACATTTTTTGCTGGTACCAACTTATTTTGTTTTCTGAGCAGTATGGCTATCATGGAAGGAATCGATCCGAAGGAAAAGCTAGAGAAAACCTATTTTACAGCTTTAACGAAAAACTGGATGGTTTGGCCATTTGTCCAGGTTGTCAATTTTAAGTTTGTCCCGTTGCAGCACCGTGTTCTACTTGTCAATATGGTGTCGGTAGGCTGGAACTGTTACTTAAGCTCTGTATCTCGTCCAAAATAAAAAATGGAAAAAGTTATCACACGAAATGTTTCTGGGGCTCGGAGATCTACAAAAAAATTTCGACATATTCTCACATCCGAGAAAAATTAGCGCTCAATTTTTACACTATTTTTATTCGATATCATTGCAAGTATCCAAACATATACGCAACTTTGTTCGATACTCTATGTCAAAAAATACCGCGACTGCGGCATAAAGTTTCCATCGAGGACCTAATTTTCTCTAGGCTTTAACGTAAAGGCTAGCATGAGCTAGTCACCAAATTTAAGAAAAGCAATTTATTGATCAATTTATCTCCTAAATAACCTCATTTCTATCCTTTCAGCTGTTCATAATTAATGATTTTTTCGGGAATAATTTGCGTGAAAAAAATAGTATCCTGCACCATCTTCAAATAGCAAGGCCGTTACGACACTGTCATTTTAAAATATCTTTGCCTTATCCATATCTAACTCAGAATATTCAATAGTTCTCATTTCCTTGGTTTAATCTCGCTCGACAAAAACTCTTTGCTCAAACTCAATTCAATGTAAATATACTGCAAAATATTTTGCCAAAATTTCATTGATTTTTATCTTCATTGGACATTTGTCAAACTGAATATTATTGGTGCACTAAAAACTTAAAACAGCAATCATAAAAATAACAAATTCAAAGCCCTAACTGGAGAAGTGCAGCTATTTACTGGAGCCATTGTAAATAGAGACTTCAGATAGAACCAATGATACTTTTGAGAGACAAGACCAAGTCTATAAGCGGCCTGTGATCTTGGGCTTACTCTACAATATGTTTCTGGTGCAATTTGACCACGTGCTCTCAAGATTATTTCGCATCAATCCACGAAAGAATATTAATGACTGAACACCTGTCAGCGACGTCTTCAACGGAATAATGAGTGAATTATTCAGCCGTGGTCAACTTCAGCAAAATTTCTCAACGTAGGAGAAATCCTCCATGAGGCAATGAGTGTGACGGCTGTCAAGCCTAAGGGTCCCTATAGCCTACGCTGTCTAGCGCAGGCAATTATACGAAGGGAGGTTCCTGGGAAGATCTTGGATGACAGGGAACCTAGATGATTCACATTGAGCCTTGTTGAAACCTACTGAGGGTTCATGAGGGTTACAGAACTATCAAGGATCTCCTAGGCGATTATCGGAGAGTCTGAGTTGTCAAGTCAAAGAGAGAACCTTATCGAGGAGGGATATTTCAGACTGTATATATAGGAAGTTATTAAGTACAGAAATTCTCTCTTCAGAGAATTATAATTAAAATATTGTACCTACAAGATCGCCCATGCATTTTGTAATGAAACCGTGACAATGAGTCAGAGTTTCTACAGTAATGACTCAAATCAAACCATCACAAACTCTGCAGATATGACCTAATTCATCTTTCTTCATAACCACAATACTTGTGGACTTAATGTTTAGACTCAGCTAGTCTCCTATTGTACACCTGCGACAATAAGAATACCGGAGCATGACGCAAAGCATGGCAATTAAAAAGTTATTGTGACTCATAGGATAGATACAATGTTAGAGGGAATGAAATTTCAATTTTTGGGAAGAAGAGTTGCACATTAAAGAGGATGGTGCGCCCCATAACTTGGCTTGTGAGGGTGAAGACGACCATATGAAAACAGCATGATTCAATAGAGCGTATAAATTATGGCCTAACTCAAAAATTCAAACTAGGTTTAATATCCATTCACAATTCGGAAAATAATTGCGACCACGCACAAATTCACTCGTACCCAGAGGAATTCGTAAGGTACAATTATTTCCTTTAGTTTTAGGCCCGATAACCGGCTACTTTTTGTAAATTTTCATGGTTTGAATTTCGTTAATGTTTATCATACTCTTGGCTCGGGTAACGCCTTGGAGTATATGTTACATTGATATCCTTTAGGCCCAGCAGTAATCGGAGTTAACTTTAACTCTGTAAAACTACATCTATAGCTGCAGCAGATGCAGACGCATCTATATGGCGACGAACCAAATTTCGGGGTGGCCTGCAGCCCACATGTCGGAGTTTGTTACTATGGTAAGAGAGGCAGGACATCAGGATGTCAACGTGCTGAATTTGGTCTATGGCAACATCTAAGCCGTAGAATCGGTATCAATGAGCCAAAATTTCATTTCAAATCATTCAGACCTCTCGAATACAGTTTACTTGCTCTGCAAATTGCATCTCCTGGAAGCAGAAAAGAAATTGCGGGCTAGTGATATAGATTATGAGGAGCTCTCACGATATTTGAAGCATTAAGTAATGACTGGTCACTTGGCGTGTAAAGCAGAAGCTGAAGTGGAAGTGGATTGGAAAAATCCACAATCAGTTTGCTAGAAGAACTGCAAGAAATAACATTATGACAGGAAATGTTCCAGCAATAGACAGTGAAAGATCTATTTTCTGGCGAGATGAGGTGTGCTGAGAGAAATAGTAAGATTTTAAGAAAATAAAGAACCTCTCAAAGTCTTCAGAAGGATCTTGCAAAAAACATTCCCAGTGGTGGTTTTCTCAGCAAAGCGTCAATACTAGAAGAAGCTGATGGAAGTGGCATCAACTGGAATTTAGGTATTCAAGTTGATGAAATAGATCAAAACACTATCGATGGCAGAGCTACTCCCAACCTACCTTGAGTAAATCAGTGGATTCCAGATACGTGTGAGCAGGCAAATATTCGTCAGGATACGCTGTTGTCAAAGTATACTATCCATTACAACATCCTGAAATAGGCGGAGAGACCGCAAAAATCGATACCCTGGAACATAAAGCTATACATCGAAGATATTACTGTAGCCATAATCAGACTATGGAATACTACGCTTAGACTTGATGCCATAACAGTTCCATCACTCTAAGTCTGCTAGGCTAGCAACGGTAATCAGGCCAGAGATATCTTTCAGGCCTGCCCAAAGTTTTAATATTTTCCGCTCGTATTGAGGATTGAAAAAGTTATTTCACTTCTAGAACTAGTGCAAGGCCCTTCAAGGGCTAAGGTCTTGCCTCAAATTTCACCAAACTCTAGCTCATTCAAAGAGCTGGAGCTTTGGATCGGCAAAAGAATGGCATACTTAGTGGTCACCTATGATGTGCTGCCACCACAACTATTCAGCGCGTCACTAGGGCAATCTGTCATCAATTTTGTCAGATCCTCTGTCCATAGTGCAGAAGAAGCGATAAGAAATGGCAAGTTTCTAGCCATGGTAACACGGGATGTTTCTGATAGTTTTGGTACAGTCCTTCACAATCACTTAATTGAGTGATTGCGATATCAAAGAAATAATATCGTTATGACTACCCTTTCAATTACATTTAGGGGCCACAGGGCTGAATCTCTTCCACATTTTTGATGGCTTAAAATCTAGCTGGATACCCAGCTTGAGTTCAAAGATTATGTTGAATGTGTTAAGATTATGAGCACATACCCGTTGAATCTCTGCCTTGGAAGGATGCTATATGTGCTCGTAGATATCGAAAAGACTTGTATTGATTGAAGAACGCTTGTTTTTATGTCTAGTTTCAGTAAACTATCGTTAACAAATAGATCCCATAGTATAAATGCCCCACATATGCTTGTCATAATTTCTATAATATCCAGTCCATAACATTACATTCCATTACACACCCAACTAAGATCTGTTCAGGAGCAGAGCGCCGCTCTCGCTGTGGATCGATTGAGCACAAGGCTACTGAGTGCAAACAGCTCGTCCCAAGATGCATCAATTGCCATGGGCCACATGCCGCAACCGAGCCTAGCTGCATGGCCAGGCCGACGCGGGCCGGCGGAAAGACTGTGCAACGCACAAGAGACCAGCTGTCGGTGATCCGGGAACAAGGTCAAAAAGAAAGTAACGCTTCGATCCGAGAGTTGGAAGCAAAGCAGAAAGCCGCTGAGGCGACTGCTGAAAACGAAACTACAAACGTTGCTCAATGCCAGTAAGGGACCACAACCTTACCGAGCTACACAAAACGGCAACAACAATCTCGTTCCTCTGTGCTAACTAGGGTAGAGGAGACCCCGCTACAGACATCATCCTGCAATCTGCTTGGGATTCAGGAACCGATGTCCTACTTATCCAGGAACCCTGGACCCAACGTAAGGACGGCTTCTGGCTCACCAAGTCGCATCCCGGATTCGATAGGAATTTGCCTCCCCGTGTCGCTGCCAACTCTTCAAGGCCACGCTCCCTCATCTACACGCGAAAAGGGATCAAGTACCAACAGCAAGCAATCTGCGAGGCATCACCAGATCTTACCGCCGTAAAGGTTGAAGGAGTCACGTTTGTCTCTGTGTATCGCGCTCCTGGAGCAGACCTTTCGCCGCTCCTATCATGGGCCCCGTCTGGGCTCACAGTAGTTGGCGGAGATTTCAATGCCGTCCACCCTGACTGGCAGCCCATGGCCACCAGGCTACACGGTGAAGGCCAAGTGCTCGCCAAATGGATGTCCGAGCACGGCATGGACCTATCTTCGACCCCGGGCGTCTCGACTCACGATCTTGGAAACACACTCGACCTAGTTTGGTCTAACGCGGGAGCCCTTGCAGACGTCTCGATAGAGCTTGACTCGACATCGGACCACAGAACTCTTGCAGGAGACGTCCCCCGTCCGAACTCGAAAGCTAGAGCTGTTATCAAAACAGGCCAACCGTTTCGAGTGACAGACGACGCCCTCGAAGACTTTGCAAAGGTGCTAGGTCGTTGGGCTCAAGGAATAGAGCTACAGCCGATGGTTTCAGTAGACGCGGTGGACAACCTTGCTCATAAGCTGGTCCTGTTGTGGTTATGAGCTGTGAGGTATATAGCAATTATGTCTCTGCTGTCCGTCGGTGGAGTTACACGGGCTCATGTGCAATGGTGAGTCGCGGAGATGGCGCGCTCACGCTGGATGATGGCACGATGGACACTGAGTGCGTATCACTGTGGCCAAATGGGTGTCAGTAGGTATCAAATGTGGATTCTTACTGACGATGGTGATCTATGAAGGTGATGCTATAT